CCCTCGTGGGCCGTGCAGCTGCCCGGGAGCTGCCACGACTTCCTTGGCTGCTGGCCCTGAGGGAGCTGGTCCCACTGTGCTGAGGGCTGCCGGGGCCTAGGGTGGCCCATGTTATCTGGGGGGTAGCTGGTCCAGGCTGTGCTGGACTGGTGTGTCTTGAGCACCTGTGAATGTCATCTGCGCCAATGGGGGCTGCCAGCTGACCATGCTGAGGCTAGGGAGGACACAAGCCCTCTGCGTGCCAGCAGGTCTCAACCTCTCCCCCTGTGCGCCTGCTCTGCTCTGGGGTGCTTTTGCCCTGCTGCACGCTTGGCTGCAGTCTGGAGATGAGCAAGCCATGCACTTGGTTTGCTTCCCCAGATAGAGCAGGGGCGGCTGCAGCCAGCAGGCTGTCTGGTTTCTCCAGCAAGTAATAGTTTACAGCTGCTCTCTGGCTGAGGACCTCACTGCTGGGTTCCTGTCACATCGCAGCACATCTCCCCTTCCAAGGCTGGTGACACCAACAGCCCCAGCTGAGCCGTAGTCGGTGTGTGCAGCCTGGGGCAGCAGAGCTGCTCTCCCAGCAAGTGCCATAGGCAGGTGCTGTGGGCAAGGCTTGGGTCAGTTAAGAGCTGTGCACTATTTTTCACACCTGTGGTTTCGCATGCTGAGTTGTGGTCTCGTGCCTTTCCTCCCACAGCTGAGGGCACAGAGCAATCTGTAGATGTTATTGGAGTTGTGAGGGTGAGCAGGTCAGGTGCTCAGCTTGCAGCACTGAGGGATGGCTGACCTGTTGGTGGTGTGGGTTTCACAGCCCCTGATGTGGCTTCCTGGCCTGTGCTGAACCAGGATGCTTGGTATCCATGCTGTCCTGCAGCTGAGTATTGCAGGTAGTACTGAGGGGTGGACAATGCTGCTGCCAGCATGTGCTGACTGCTGCACTCACCCTTTGCTCTTCTCCTGTGAATAACTGTTCACCATCTCCTGCTGCTGCAAGGGCTGTGGGCTCTACCCTGCTGCCTGGCAGCTGTCACATCTCGAGACAGAAGTGCTGCAAGCAGTTTAACAGCTTCTCTCCCTGGGACTCATGGTTGCTGCAGTGTGCCCTTTACTGTAATTATGCTGAATGGTGCAGCCCTGTATGGCTTTTTGCAGGACATCATGTGTGCCAGTTCTGCTGTTACTCCTGGTTTTAACAAGCTGTTGCTGCAGTGAGTGAGCTGCTTCCCTGTCCCTCCCCAATCTCAGCCTTGTGTGTGTGAGCCTTTGCCAAGTCTGTTCTGTTTTAGTGATGTACAAGCTAGCAGTGGGGTCACCATTACCCACACATGTGTTAACACTGTCCCACACCTCTTAAATTGGCCCACCAGAATTACTCTGTATGAGCCATGCAACCCTTCCCTTGTGCCGCTGCAGTGCTGGTGCTGCAGGGTGGGTGGGAGCGTGTGTCTGTATGCATGTGCATGTCCCACTCTGGCCCAGCACTGCATCGGGCATTTGCACTGTTCTGTGCTGGTGCTGCCAGACTCATTTGCAGGTTGTGCGCTTGTACGTGCCTCAGAAAATACCTTTCTCTGACACCGCTGCTGCCTTTCCTGTGCAGTACTCATCTCTGCAGTTCCCTGCCTTCCTGCACTGCCATGATCTGAGAAAGGAGTGGTGCCTTGTGTTTTCTTGGGCAGGGGGGAGGGTGACAGACTTTTGTGCTGCTTTTTTATTTGGCCAAAACCACTGCATTTTGATGTACATTTTTTTTGGTTTTGGGTGCCTTCCCCTGCTCCTCGACTCTGCTGGACAGCCAGGCTCCTTTGTTTCTTTGCGTGCACCTCTGGTCTCATGATAGTACACATGTATCTGCTCTGACCCTCCAGGATAGCACATCTAAACATTTTTAGGGCACCAGAGCTCTTTAAAAACTCTTGTATTTCCCTGACAGCCCTAATTTTTTTAATGTAACTCCCTAAAAAACAAAAGTTAGCTGGCAAAACAAGGAGGTTTGTCTCTCTGGAGCTATGGCCATGCTCCCTGCAGCCTAAGCTACAGCACAGCAGCACTTGCACTCCACCACCGTGCTGCTTTTGCTCCTCAGGTACTCCTTTCCTCACCTGACCAGGGAGCATCACAGCCCTCTCCGGCCAGCAGCCGGCTGAGATCTGGCCACATCCTCCTTCCTGGCCCTGCTGCCAGGGTGTCTCTGCTCTCTGCAACCTGTTTTGTGTGTGCAGAGAAACCAGCTGTGATGCCATCCTCAGTGGGACAAGCTAACTGCAACTTGTCCAGCAGCATGACATGGCCCAGCACGCAGCACCGGCACTCCCGCAAGGGCCAGAGAGGTGTGCAAGATGACCTTAGAGGACCTGCAGCTCTTGCACAGCATGCAAGGACAGGCCTCCTTCTAAGGGCCATACCCACATGTTCAGCTGCTGGTACATGTACGCGTACATGCGCATGCACACACACACACACACACAGAGACCTGCAACTCTGCAGGGACAGTGCTGCCTTTGAGCCAGGATGCTTTTATTGAAAAGACCCTGCCACAGGGAGTCGCTTATTGTGTCCCCTCCCCACCTAGTCCTGCAGCAGGAGCTGAGCAGCACCTGGAAGGAAGAGTCCTGAAAGTGCTTTTCTGGGAGGTTTATTCCTGGAAGACACTGGATCCTGTAATGCTTGAGTCCAGGACTGCAGAGCCAGCACCCCAGCTCAGTGGCTGACAGGCCACAGAGTACAGAGGGAGAGCAGCAGCCAGGGCACCAGCTCCCATCTCTGCGGCAGATGGCCTCCTCGTATCACCCTGTTCCCTCCTACCGCCGGCAAGAGGGCATGCCTGGGCCTAGCCTCAGCCTCGGACACAGAGCGGTGCAGATGCCCAGTGACAGATTTCTGCCTGCAGGCTCTGGGGAGCAAACAAGCACAGTCCAGACAGCACCACTTCACCAGCCCCAGGGTGGTCGATGCCTCATGTTGTCCTCGCAGGAGCAGGCAGACTGAGCACATACCAGTGAGCCAGCGGTCCACCAGCTCTGGGCACTCCAACAGGTCTGTGTCACATCAGCCAAGCTGGTACAGGCCATGGGACCAGCTCCAGGAGCAGAGGCATCAGCAGTTACCGTACCCCCATAAGACAGAAGGAGCCAGGAGCGGGATGTGACACTCGTGAAGCCAGGGTTGTCCCCAGAGCGGTGATGAGGTCTGCACTGCACATCTTGCCGAGCCTGCTGAGACCTTGCTGGGCCTCACCATGTTATCTCCTCCAGGCAGCACAGGCATCGCACTGCTTACAGGGTGCTCAGCAGCAACGCCCCCCCCCAACCAGCTTGAATCTGTCAGGACTGAGCCCTGGCAGAGCCACAGCCATGCCCTGGCACTCCCTGCTCCCATAGCTCTGTGGGGCTCACACCACCCCACAGAACAGCTCCTACCAGCACTCCCTGCCGTGGCTGCACGCTCCGCAGGCTGGCCAGGCACTGTGGCAGCACTACCTCCTCGTGCTCGTTTGTGTCTTTCTCCCCTGCAGCAGGGAGAGGCCTTGAAGCCCCTCCACGGCGATGATGGGGTGCAGTGGAGCCCCGTTCTCCAGCAGGGATCCACTCTTCAGCTGTGCTCACTGGGCCCAGCCCCACAGATAAACCTTCCTGCCACCTGGCCACGACTTCCCTGGCAGCACTGGGGCAAGTGCCTGCACTGCCCCATCCCCTCAGTCTCAGAGCTGAAAGGGGAGCAGCTCCTGCCCTCCACAGGCAGCCCTCCGAGCCCAGACACAGTGGCTGAGAGCAAGGTCTGCTCCAGGCTGCCTGCTGGGCAGGTGTCTGGCACCGCACAGTTGCACCCAGGCCTCTGGCCAAGCCAGCACACAGGAACGTTGCCTCCCCTCAAGCCAGCACACCAGCCCCTCTGCTCCCCTAGACTTGCCTCCCTGGGCTGGTGGTGTGGCCCCCCGCCCCCCCCTCAGCTCCGCGCTCC